TGTGGCAGCTCATTCCCTTGAGAGTGCTCATGCCACAGGGGCAGAGCACCTGGAATGGCCCCAGTCCTGAGAGTCCTATTCCCCAGTTGTGTGACCTTGGAAAAGTCACTGCCCACCCCTGTTAGTTATGGTAACATGAAGAATTTGGACCCGCCATCCCTTCATCATCTGGGCACAGTCTGCATTCAGTCAGCACATGGGCCACAGGCTGTAGCCTCTATCTGTGGAGGGTGCCAGGCAGAGAACTAGGGATGGCAAGAGGGAGGCTGTGCCCTGGATGGAGCCAAATGGCCTTCAACTGGGCCCACTGTGTTTGGCACCCAGGCTGCAGAGTGAAATGATTTAAAGGGCAGGCTCTGTACTCAGACAGACCCAGATTCAGATCTGGCTGTCATTTACTAGCTGCACGGCCTTTGACAAGCTACTTACCCTCTCTTTGCCTCGGCTGCCTTATCTTTAAAATGGATATCATAGTACTTCCCTCACAGGGTTGTCAGAAGGATTAAATGAGCTCTGTAAATTACAGTAAGAGCATGTAATCAGTTCTTGATACTTGTGAGCTGCTACGGAATGGGAGCTGGGCAGGGGGCAGACAGAGAATGAGGCTGAACCCTCCCTCTGTGGAGACTGACTAGCACAGGATCCCTTCCTTGCTGTGTGTGGTCTGATTAAACCCACAGCCACCACATTTTCTAGCTCTGATATAAAAATGTGACCTGAGAGTGGGGAAGGCTACTGGAAATCAGAATTGCTCCTGAAAGCCCAGGACACCTGGCCAGCAGCCTCCAGCCCTCTTGGTGTGGGGAGTCCAAATCTAGATGCATTCTCCAGGCCCTGATCTTAAGCAGCCTCTGCCACCTGCTTTGGATGGCAGCTCGGCAGCCCCAGGGTTAAAGTTCTGCTTCTCACCAGGAACACAGTGTTCTCTTTCCGTTGGTAGAGGCACCAGAGATGGGCACAGTGAGTTGAGGCATGATGTTCATTTCAAGTTCATTTTGTGTTGCTGAGAGTGGGAAAGGCCTGTGGGTCAGAGCTGATGCTGTTAGAGGCTAACAGGCAGTGGAGGTGGCACATCTTCTGCTAGGCAGGGACATGAAGGGCTTGCCTGAGGAGATACTGGGTGTCCTGGGGTGCCAGGCCAGTCAGGTGGCCAGTCCCAAAACCTTCTGCCAGAGATATGGCTTTGAATGCCACCCAGGAGAGTCTGAGGACCTACTCTGGGCCATTCCTGACACTGGAGCTGCAGAAATGCATTAGTCATGGTCCCTGCCCACAAGGTGCTTGCAGACTGGCTGCTGGGCATAGGGGCAAGGAGGCTGCTGGGCAGGGGATCTTCTTTGAAATGGATGGCGTCTAATCACTCACGCGCTTTCCTTCCCTGCTCATTAGATTCAGATTGTCTTCTACTTCCTAGAAACCCAGAGTCAGATTGCCTTCTACTTCCACCTGTTTCATCCCAGCTCTGCCAAACAGCCCTTCAACAGCTGGGCCTAACAGTGGCCTCTTCCTTCCCCCTTTCCTTCCCCTCTGAGACTTTGCCCTTAGAAAGTCCCATGCTGAGCTCTCTCCTCCTCTTCCTGGGAGGATCCTCCAGGTGGTCAGCACTGACAACTGTCTTCCTTCTTTCCTTTTTTACTCTTCCTCCTGTACTCTCCTTTTCCTCCTCCTCTTCTTCCTCTGCAAAGCCACCCGCATCCAGGCGCTGGGCACCAGGTAGCAGGACACCCAGCCATCAGCGAAAGCAGAGCCAGCTGGTTTTATTCCTGCAGTAAGTGTCCTCGTCCCAGCCAGAGCTTCCGGCTTCTGGTGCGGAAGCTTCTTCCCTTCCTTCCCCTCCTTCTTTCTGCCCTTCTGTGCCTCTGGGCTGCCAACTTCCCTGAGCTTCTCCTCCTTGGACCTCCTGATCCAGGGCTTCTCCCAACCTCCTTTCCTCATTCCCTTCCTGCCCTCTCTCCTTGCCTTCATTCCTCCCTTCCTTCCATAGCTGATGGAAGGACACCACCCCATCCTCTGGAAAGAGCCCATGAAAGCCTATGGGACATGTGGTGGATTTGGGGAGCTGGCTGGCTGTCTCCCACCAGTAACGCAGCTGCCCTCTCCCTGGCCCTGCAGCTCACCTCCCTGCTCCCCATAAGTTTCTTTGTGCTCCTTCATCATTCATCATGACTGCTGCCTTCCCTCTCCTGCAGGAGTTCCCGCAAGCCTCCTCCAGCCTCTCTAGGGGGCGGGGGTTCTCTCCATGCTTCCATTACACCACTTTGTTTTCCCTCTCCTCTAGCACCTTCTTTATCCTCCCCATTTCCCTGTCCTCTGCTTCCCTGCCTCCCCCTACCACCTCTTCCAGTAGCAGGCTGCCTTAGCCTTTGCCTCCCCTCCCTCCCCCTTCCCCTCTGTTGTACCCTGTCTTACCACCAGGGCCTGAGTATACAAAAAAAATAAATAAATAAAAAGGTCAGTGAGTGGAGGGAGCAGCAATAACCCCTAAAACAGTACTATCAGTGGAACATGATTGATCAATTGAATTCCATAGCGGCTGAAAAATGTGGGATTAAGTAGTGTATTATACGCACAATGAGTTGAGGCATGATGTTCATTTCAAGTTCATTTCGCCGGCCTCTGCCACCAGATCAGGCAATCAATAGGGGCAGCAGATATCATATATCACCTCTCTGCGGGCCAGGGAGAGAGCACCATAATCTCTCGCAAATTTAGAGTGACAGATTTGTCAAGATCTGAAGGGCCCCTGAATAAATGAAGGCAAAGAGACTCCTCCAGCCAGTGACCTGAGGACAAAGCTTCAGTTCAGCCCCTACACACACACACACACACACACACACACACACACACACACGGTGAGCCAAGCCACACACAGACAGGCATATACACAAATCTACACAGTCATGAGGGGAATCCTACCACACATGCACACATATGTACATAATGCGTGAACACACGTTCACAAATACATACACCCCTTCTGCCCCTGCAATAATCGTATATGAAGACACTTGATGCCTCCCTCAACCCTGACAGCCAGGTTTCCCCAAAAGGTAGGAGGCCTCCAGGAAGGGAGAATTAGACATAATGGGACATGCAAATAGCTACAGGGAATGAAATGAGGATGATAGCACATCCCGAAAAAGGAAGGCGCAGGAAAAACAAAGCACGTGGCCTCACAGTCCCCATGCAATCACACATAGACACATACATCCTTTCAGAAAGCTTCTCACTCTCAACACACATAGAGTATTCCATGTATATGCACTCATACATAAATAAACCTCCCTTGTTTATCTGGAGGTTTATTTATGTATGAGTGCATATACATGGAATACTCACACAAAAGGGAAAAATAAATTTACCACACTTCAGCTTTCGGCTCATATGTTGATGCATACATCCCATAAGACTGAAACGATTCCAGAGGCTTACACAGAAAAAAACCACAACCACCAAGTTTTGTGTCCATGGGGACAAATACTATTGAGGCTGCCTCTGTCTGTCTTCATCAGATGTGGTCCTGGTCTTGATCTCTGTCCTTCTCTCCCTCTCTTTCTCTTTCTCTTTCTCCTTCTCTCTCTCTCTCTCTCTCTCATACACACACACACACACACACACACACACACACACACACACACACTTTCTTTGCTTTCCCACCCTCTCCAGAATAGATATGGAGGGAAGATGGGAGGTCACATTACGAAAGCAGAGCAGACCCCACGCTCCGTCTGGAACGCCAGCGAGGGAGGATGGCTGCAGGTTGAGTTAATCAATATGTAATATTTTCTATGGTCTCCTGAATGATACTGTACGTTGTTACTGTATATAATGCAATATTGATTATATCATATCGTATAATCACCTATAAACTGATATATATAACAGTCCCAGAGGAAAACCCTTGGGCCTCCAGCATGGGCTGGCCTCAGGCCCAAGGCTCCTCAGCTGGTCTTGGGCTGAAGGAAGCCCAGAAGTGACCAAGCTGGTATGGGGTTTGGGGAGAACCCTACTTTGGGCCAGGAGAGTTACAAGATGTGGGTTCAGGGAGAGGCTGCAGAGCAGTGCATTGCCTGCTGTACACCTTGACAACTTTAAGGAACCAACGCTGGGAGACTGGGATAGGGGAGGGGTGAGAACACCTGGGGAAAGGGGACTTGAAGACAGGATTGGCCTGCAGCCTTGGGGGAGCAGGCACCAGTGTGACAAATCTCTGCTCCCTCCGGAGACCTGCAGGAGGAAGCAGGTGACCAAGAAGCCAGCTCCTGTAGGAGGCCTTAGCCGGGTCCAGGTCCGAGACAGAGGCCAAGAAGGTGGCAGGGGCACAGCGGCATCTGGGGGCCCTTCTGTGGGTTCTGCCCAAGTGGGAGCTTTGCTGCTCTAGGGACACCTCTTTCCTCCTGCTTGGCTTCTCTCCCACCTCAGTCCTGGCCCAACCCAAGGAAAGTGCCTCAGCTCTGCCTCAGAGCCCCTCCTCCCTTGAGCAAAGTTAATTACTTCACCCAGTCTCCAGGTTACACGCGGCCTTGGAAATTTGATGGTTTTCAACCCTTGGAATCAGTGGAACTGAAACTCATCTCAGAGCCAAGTTCAATTCTCCACAGGCTCAGTAATGCCAATCTGAGACATCCAGCTTCTTTCTTCTTCAGGCTGGCCCTGGCTTGGGGGCAGGGAGTGGCTCAGGGAGACATGCTCTGGGGAGCTGCCCCCAGGACCCACCCTGGCTCCGCCTCTGCCTAATCCTTCCTGACCCCACAGTGTGACTGCTCTGTCTCTTCCCAGGTCCTCAGATCTTTCTCTTCCCTGAGCTTCCTCAGCCACATCTCTGAGGCAGGGCCACCCTCCTGTGTCAGCCCCGCTGGCCTGGGGGGATGAGAGTAAGGGGTCCCATAGAGGTGCAGAGCTCCATGGCCCAGAGCCAGGTGGCCACCCCTTTGCCCTGCACTGTTCCTTTGCCTCTGCTGGTCCAGCGCTAATGCCCTGAGTGTCCATGTGTCCTCTAGATGTGTCCGAGGGCTCAGTCCCCAATGGAGATTCCCAGAGTGGTGTGGACAGTTTGCGGAAGCACTTGCGAGCAGACACCTTCACCCAGCAGCAGCTGGAAGCTTTGGATCGGGTCTTTGAGCGTCCTTCCTATCCTGACGTCTTCCAGGCATCAGAGCACATCAAATCAGAACAGGTGAGGAGGGAGCTCACTGCTTGCAGAAGTAGAAAGGAGACGGGCAGAGTAAGGCCTTTCAAGAACTTGTCCACCAAACACCACATGCACAGCCAGCATTGTACGTGTTACATAAGTGTGCTCATTGTGTGTGCAGTGTGAAGAGGCTCACACGAGACAGTATGGTATCATTACGACAAATCATTATCGTCTGTATACAGTAATTTGAAATGATGAGTTCTGGGTGTGAGAGTATGGCCCTGGAGAAATCTCTGTTCAGAGCCTCAGTTTCCCCATCTATAGAATGAAGGGCTTGGATGTAGGATTTGTCAAATCCCTTCTAGCTCTGCCTCTCTGTGGTTCTGGCATGGAGTACTCAGGAACGTCCTCTTGCTGTGCCCCTTGCCCACACCCGCTCAGGGTCCCACAGAAAGTCTGTTCTGGTCTGTGGAGCTCTCCTTGCCTAGTGTCAGAAGAGCCTGCCTGTGCCTGCCTCCTGCTTCCCAAGCCAGCCATTTAATGGAATCCTAGGCAGGCTGGCAGCTTACCACTTACACCCAGCACGTTCTGCTTACACTGAGCAGCCCAAAACACACAGCATGGGACACAGCACACAACACACCAGTAAAACACACGACGCAGAAACCACTTCCAGACTTTTCCATGTGCTGGCGTGCATATGCCCACACACCACCATCCACCTGTTCCCCTTCCCCACAGCCCACAGTACTCACTAGCCCCGATAGCCCCATGGAGCCAGTGGGTGTGCGCTGCCCCCAGACCACCAGCTCAGTATACCTGTAGCACATGCCTCCACCCACATACGCTGCTGGGTGGAGCCCCCAGCACACCCGCTCAAACACAGGGGCGCACTCCTATCCCTCCCGCACATGCGGCCCAGGCCAGACCCACAGTCACAGCACAACACTGCATTGCTGTGCTTGCACGCCTGCATGCGCATACACACATGCACATCCATGCAGCCCCACAGGCATCACACGGCGCAGTTCCACTCTAAGACTCCAATAGCTCCCAGCCACTCGCCTTTCTCCCGCCCGTCCTTTTATCCCATAAGCTGTTTGTCTTCATAAAACAAAAATCAAAAGTCTTTTTAAGGTGCCCTGAGCCATAAACCAACAAAGGAGGAGCCGGCCGAGGCGGGCGGCTCAGTGCACCCTCCCTGAGTCCCCGGCTGTATTACAATGAATAACCTTTATTTACTTTCATTAGACTATTAAACACCAGCACAGTCATTTTTCCCCCTGAAACTCAGAGCAGGGCCCATAAAGCAAATCCGAAGCCTAATTGAGTTCATTTTAATTTCTCTCCGATCACAGCGAATTACTCTGGTGATAAATCAGGGGGCAGCTTCACCCCCAGTAGAAGGCCTAATTTGCAGCTAATTACAAAACTGATTTCTACAGGAAGATCAATACAAGAAGGAATTGGAAATGACGAGGCAATCCCGTCCAGCCATGGAGGGGAGGGGGTCCTCTGGGGGGGCCAGGAAGCGGAAGGGAAAAAAACAGACCCGAAAGAGCAGAAAATCAGTTTTAATTTAACGTAATATTAATCAGAGCAACTTTTCCTGCTTTGTGCAGGCTCCTGGTCTGCCCAGCGCTGGGGTCTGGCTTGGCGGTGGCTGCAATAAAAAGGCAATTACCCGAGTGTTTCGGGCAGGACACCCTTTCAGAGTCAATGACTGGCCCCCTCCTACCCTTCTGTTAGCCATGTGGACTCTCCCCCTCCCCAATTTCATACCCCAGTGCACAGGCAGAGAGCAAGGGGCCCATGGGGCTGTCATTGTTTGTTTTTAAAAAAGGGGCACCCGTACCCGATCAGCCAGCAGTGCCAGGCTGGAGGCCCCACTAGGCCCTTCCCCTGGCTACTGGCTCTGCCATCATGTCATGGTTCCCTCTCCTCCCCAAGGCTCCTCGACATCCCATGCCTCTCAACAAGAGGATCCCCACTCCTACACCCTAACTTCCTGCTTAGGCAGGAGATGCTACACCGAGGCAGGGTGCTGGCATAACCACCCAAAATGGTAAAGGGCACTGCGTCTCCAGCTTCACCAAGTCAGGTCTGCTCCTACCAGCACAAAACTTGCCATCATCCGCCAAGCCCCCGCCATCTCCCCTCCCTCTGCCCCACCATCTTCTACCCCATCTGGGAGGGCTCCCCGTTCCTCCTTCCCATCTGCACACCGAGCCCTTTCTCTGTGTATGCATCAATAGAGAGCTGTCACTTTTCTCTCTCCTCCCAGGGGAACGAGTACTCCCTCCCAGCCCTGACCCCTGGGCTTGATGAAGTCAAGTCAAGTCTATCTGCATCCACCAACCCTGAGCTGGGCAGTAATGTGTCAGGCACACAGACATATCCTGTTGTGACCGGTAAGGGGGCTTCCAGGAGGGTGGGGGCACTGCGTTCAGTGGGGGGTATCTCAGCCCATGCCATCTGGGGCCCAGGGTGATGGGCAGGTTCCCCACCATGATATTTGCAGAGAGAATGAGGCTCCTCAAATCAGGGTCCTTCCTGAACAGGTGTGTGCAGATGTGGGGAGAAAAAAACTGGGGTCAGAGGGTCTGTGGGCTCCAACCTAGAAAGGAAAGGCTGATGCTAGGAGGGGCTGCCGCCAGTTCTACCTCCTGTCCTTTGCCTCTCGCTCTGCCTGTTTTTCTTCCCTCTCCCAAGTTGCCCAGAATCATGAGCCTCTTGTTAGGACATATGCAGAAGGTAAATAGGCCAGGCTGGTAAGAGTGGAGCTTGTGTACCCAGTGTCCAGCCTCCAACACATGTGTCCCCAAGGCTCCTGGGGGACCTGCTTCCCACTTCCTCCAGGCAGCACAGGTAACCATGGCTTTGGGCTTGAGGGCATGGCACCCAGCTCTGTGGAGTTTGAGATGACAATTATTCCAGCCTTCCTCCTGCTTCCCAGAGACGTCACTGACACCAAGGCATGATTTCAAGGCCAGGTAGGATCAGGCTTGGCCTACAGCCAAGTGCAGGGCTAGGGGCGCATGACCAAGAGCCCCTACAGATCAAGAGTAGCAGGGCAGCTAGTTTGGAAGGGGAGGTGGGGTCCAGGGAAGGCAGCAGAGCTCTGGGCTGTGGAAGGCGGTGCCACTGCAGAAGGGTTTCCAGGCCAGGAGAGTGCCCAAGTGGGAGAGACACACATTGAGGTGTTATTAAAATTCACCTAATTATTCTGGAGACACTAAAGCCAATGTGCCGTTTGTTCCTTGGGAGACAGGATGATTGAGAAGGATCTCGGTGGGGATTGGGAGACACTGAGGCGTTACCTGCCGAGCGAGGCTAGCGGAGGCGGGCTGGGGACCCAGCAGCCCGGCTGCACAGCCAGCAGCAAGCGCAGGGAACAGGCGAGGCTGCTCTAGGACTGGGCCCTGGTTCTGCCTGGGAGCTGGTCTGAGTGTGGCTGCCCTTGAGCCTGAGCTGGGCTACCAGAGGCCACCCAGCCTCCATCTGGGGGCTTAGGAGAGCCCCGGCAGCTTTCCCAGCCTCTCCCTAAGGGGCTGTACTGGGACAACTGTTTCCAGCCTAGACAGAGTAGAGCTCTTTGGCTAGGGAGTCAGGTTGAGTTCTGGAAGTGCTGGAGACCTGGACGGGGCTTTCCAGAGTGACGACCTTAGCTGGGTTAGCTGGGTCAGGCCATAGCCCATGACCGAATGGCCCTCGGCATGAGCCATCCTTCGCCCAGCTGGGAAGCTCTCTGACCTGCTAAGTATTCTGACTCGATGCAGAGAGACGGCCCAGGCCAGGCCACCTTTCTCCTGACCTGCTTGGAGGTACAGTGGTCACTTCCCAAAGATGGCCCCTCCAGGCCCTGGTAGAAGAGAACCTGGGGGACTTCTCTAACCCCATCTGTGCTGCCCCGTGCTGCTCAGGCCACAGTCCAGAAGGCGAGGACTTCCTGGGATGGAGATACGGATCTTCAGGGTAGGGCTCCTGCCCGCAGGAGACCCAAGGGCTGGTGCAGAGAAGAGCCTCCACCTTGAGCAACCCCCATTCGCCCCCCCACGGCCCTGGAACAGTCCCAGCTCAGCCCGGGAACGTCTCCGGCTGATCCATCTGGATCCAAGTGTGAGAAAAGTTCATTTCAGACCCAGCTTGACATTCCCAGGTGGCAAGTTAGCACTAACATCTCAATCTGTATGCGACATTTCAATCAAGCGAGGAGTAACAAAAGCAGAACCATTAACATTCGGAGCTGTTCACCAGTGGTAATGACGGGGAAACTCGCTCAGAAACTGGAAATTACCAAAAAGAGAGAAGTGTGTGGAGATGTGGGGGAGGGGAGATGGGGATAGGGGTAGGGAATGATTTTTCCACACTTAGGCCAAGATCCAGTGTTTGGATTAATAGTGCCATTACCCGAGAAAGAGCTGCAGATTATGCTCATTCTTAAAATGTTTTTGCTGGCAATTAAACTGCTGCAGTTATTGATCTTTGTTGATTTTATGTCCTCCTAATTTGCATAATCTATTAAAGATGAATGATTTATGATGTGTTTATTATGGGGACAAACAGAATTTGCTAGAGGTACTGTCAAGGTGAGCAATGGGGCATTGCTTAGAGACTCCATGGTCCCTCTCAGCAGTGGGTCCAGCGTGTTGGCCTTCAGGCCAGGACACTGTGGGTAGCAGTGAGCAGTGGTGCAAGGAGAACAGACACAGGACAGTGGACCTTGAGTGAGTTCTTCTAGAAAGATGCTGGCATCTGTGAGAACTGGGCTCTAGGCAGGGCTGGGGTGTGGGAGAGGCCCTTAGTATATTTGTGGACATTGCCCTCTAAGAGTCTTTAAAAGCTTATTTTGTTGGCAAATAAGGGCTTTGGTGGGAGAAGAGAAAAGGAGGCTCTTTCAGGTGTATGGGTGATTCTGGTCAGGTATGTGCTAAAGGTAAGGGAACTGTGAGGTCACCCCGTGCCCATAGCCTGGTATAGGAGTGCCAAGCTGTTCGAGGAGCTCTCTTCATCCTCCACATCTCAGGCACGCTGCTCATCTTCTTCCCCAGGCCTGGCCGCTAAGGCTGCAAAGCTTAGGGGATAAGGGAATGCCCACGCCCAACCTGAAAAGCCAGACCTTATTGAGATTCCTGCCACCTCCTGGCACTGGAGGCTGATTTCAAACTTCACCAGCCACTTGATGCAGCTGTTCCACAAGGTCAGGACTGAGAGGAGAGAGGAACCTGGGCTATTGTGTGGAGGGAGCATGGGGCCCAGTGGGCCAGGACACAGCTAATCACATTGCAAGCAAGGGTGGCTGCCAAAGGCTGGGGCTCAGCCCCATAGCACCCCCCACTTCCATCAGGGAACCAAGGAGAGAGACTGATTTTGCTGGGTAGTGTTTGCAAGTTCTGCCGAGATTTTAATTTCACTGCATCACAACTCAGCAAGCTGCCAAGTCAAGCTGGTTATTTAAATTTATCACCCACTTTTCCTTCCGCCGCTGGGCTGCTCTAGCTCAGCGGCCTCTCTTCTCTCCAGCCCACGGCTCTAGGCTGCTGGTCTGGAACGGAGCCGAGTCTCTCCTAAGCGATAAAGAAAAAGGACTAGCTAAATGAGAGAATGGGTCCGGGCACTCTGGCCCCAGGCTTTTTTCAGGTTGGCTGGCTGTGGCTGGTACCTTTCACCAACTTCTTGACCCTCCGAGGACCCCGAGGGGGCTGCCATTCACCTCAGTAGTCTCAGGGCTCCCCAGGTCAGGCCAGCTACAGTGAGGACTCTGGCTCTAACTGCATGCTGGAGCCTTCATTCCTTAAAGTCTCCCATCCCTGGTAGAAAAGATAGCCCCTATTCCCCTGCCTTTCTCTCCTTGACCCCTCCCTCCCCATGTCTGGCCAGGGCTGCAGTGATGAGGAGCCTGCAGAGATGCTGGCAGTGATGTTGATCTGGGAGGAGAAGATGAGAACTTACTGCAGGATTCCCAGTCACTGGGGATGTTTCTGAGCATTAGAGAGTCCCTTGACCCAGTGCAAGTCCACTCTGAAGGAGAGACCACAGATGCAAGTGACCGTGCTGGAGGACATCAGAGACTGTATAGTCCCATGCTCCCTAGAAAAGGGTTGGCCAATCTTTTGGTTTCCCTGGACCACTTTGGAAGGAGAAGAATTGTCTTGGGCCACACGTAAAATACACTAACACTAAGATAGCTGATGAGTTGTTGTTGTTGTTGTTGTTGTTTAAAAAAAAAAAACACTCATAGTGTTTGAAGAAAGTTTATGAATTTGTGTTGGACCACATTCAAAGCTGTCCTGGGCAGCATGTGTCCTGCGGGCTGTGGATTGGACAAGCTTGGTCTAGAAGTTAGGGAAAGCACCAGTCCCTGGAGCCACTGTACCCAGCAGGCTTCACTGGCCTCTAGTGGGCATTGCTACCACGCACTGGCTGAGCCTTGAGCAAGTGTAGGTCTCACCGCCTGTGTTTTAGTCACAGAGAGGTAACGGAGGAATGAGATTGATATCCAGGAACTAGGCAGGCTAAACTTACCAGAACATAATTGAATAAAATATAACAATAAAAAATGTTAATATGCAGCCAAACCTCACTCTTTGGTGCCAGAAATAGAGGGGAACCTAAAGCCAGATCAGTATTGGAGAGGCCACCAGTATCATACTGGAGGGAGACTCCGACTGGGAGGGGACGGAGTTAAAACACCCCAGTCAGGGCTGGTATCACACTGGAGGGATAGGGGACTGGGAGAGGACGCGGCTGTAACACACCAGTCAGGGAACGTGACTTTGGGAATCAGGAAGCTAGAACTGAGTATCATCCTGTATAAAGAGAGGAACAGAATAGGGACTACACTGTCCGTGAAAGGCAAGCACATACACTCGTCCCAGTAGCCCAGGGAAACAAGGAAGGGGGCAGCTGGGAATATCACCATAAGACATGGAGACCCCAAGCCTGATGCCAGATCAGAGTCCAAATTTATACCATGAGTTTGTTGCAGGAAACCCAAGCCAGGAACTTACATAAAAATTTGCCCAGGATAGTAACCCATTCTGAAGCCTCAGCAGGAGCAATGACAAACCTTTGTAGAGACATTCTGCGATCCAGGGCACATGGGACTCCCACAGGGGAAAAGAAATCCACCACTAATGATTAGCTTACTGGAAAAAAAAAAAAAGCACACACCTCATGTGATACAAACTATCAAAAGGGAAAGTTAGTAGAAGCAGTAAATAGAACAATTAACATCCCCCCAGGAACGGGAGACAACAGAATATTACAAAAGCACTGTAAACTCAGCATGTTTAATATTCTAAAAAAGATCAAAGAGAAGCATCAATTGTGTCTTTATCACAGATCCAGATCCCTCAGACCCTTTCCACCAATGCTCAGCAAATTGTCAGATAATGGAGATCAAAAAGGG